TTTCTATTGATTTTAATGTAAAATAACGCTTTGAAGTTTGCAATTTATAGTCCCCCAAGAGTTAGAAAGTGAAGGGAATGGGTCATATATCCTTTTTTTTTTTCCTTCTCTTTTCTTGCGTTAGCCCCTTGAGACAACGCATGCCTTCAAGGCAGCACCTTGTTATTCCACCCCATCGAATGCCACGTTGCATTTGCCGGGGATCAAACCTAAGATGAAGAAAAGATAAGAAAATTGGCCATAATGAACTCCAGAAGCAGCAGGCATTTTCACCATGAACTTGGAAACTCACAGTGGAGAACTGAGCTTTAATTCAAACCAGTCCAAATGCCAAACCGTGAGGCTTTGAAGTCTGTAGAGGAATCAGTGGAAATCCTTTGAGCTAGGCAAAGATACTGATATACTTTTTCGTCTTTTTTATTTTTTTTTTAAGCCTTAACTCTTCACATGCTTGTCTGCTTTTGGGGAAGAAAGCCCTCTTTCTGCATAAAATAAGCAGCACGCTTTTTATTTTTTGTTGCTGCTGTTCTGTTTCAGGATGAGCTGGTGTATGGCTTTGATAAAAGCATGTGTTCTAATGAAATAACAACTGAGATAATTGCCCTCATAAATTAATCTTCTGATGAGTGAATAAATAAATCCCAATGAAACCGATCATCCCCGCACCGTTTCGGCGTCATTTGCCGAAGAAAGGACGGTAACTTGCATCGGTGATTTTTCGACTGAGAATTTCTCCTACGAGTCTTGGCTTCCCTCTGTTTGCAGTGCGGCGTTGGGTTGGGCGAGCTGGCCTGACCTCTTAGTGGTTATTAATACTGCTGAGCCCTTTCAAAAGTGAGAACAAGAGTTAAAAATGAGAAGCGGAGAGCAACCTCACCATGCACTTTGTCACTTATTGTCTTCATAACCGAGGGCTGAAGTCACCGGCTGCCCCGTCTCCAGGTTGGGGTGATATCATGATTGCTGTCTTATTTCGGGCAGGGGGGACACAGCACAGGGTGGAGTCACCCCGGTCACTACTAAGATGTGCAGAAGGGATCTGGGGAGTTTGCTGCGAGCTTGGCCCTCCTCCACCCCATCGTAGCGGCGGCTCTGCCTGGCCGAGACGGCGTGACACTATAATTTAGCTGACCGTTTGCTGGGCGAAGGTCCCACAGCTGAACTCACCGCCAAAGTATGTGGGCAATACAGATTTCACAGATTAGGCAAAAATGTATTAAACTCTAATGTGAAAAATGCAGGGCATATAATTTTAAAAGTCCTTAACTCATCAAAACATTATTGGTATTCATTGCTGTTATTCCGTCGTTATAGAAACAAACGGTTGTAAAATTTGTTTGGGTTTTTTTAATCGGAGTCTGTCGTTCCCTGACTTGTTACACAAGCAGAAATCATGTTTGCTTCTATAAATCCTCGTGACGTTTTGAAAAGCAGAGTGTGCGAACCCGGCTGAGAGACCTGCAGAAAAAATGCCAAGACTGCGGCTCGTTCGTTATTACACGAGAACAGCAATTACTTAGTGAAATTAAAGTGCATTATCCAGAGGAGTTTCCCTCTGAATTTCCTGTAAGAAAGTTTTCCTGATGATTCTAGCAGTTGGGTAGTCTCATACGATTTATTTTTTTTCCCCTACCCGGACAGAGGTCTCCTCAACGATTCTAATTCCATATACAGCTTGATTCTGTGTTAGCGTTATTTTTATTTAAAACACCTAAACCAGATGCAAAAGCCAGGACTGCATTTGAAAGGTCCCTCCTCCTGCCTTTCTCGGAAGGCGTTAAATGAATTCAGGAGCCGCTGGAAGGGGGGAGGATTTTGTTTTTTTCCTTCAATCCATAAACCATTTCAGGAGCGAGTAAGGGGACGGGAAGGAGTTGATGATGTTTTGCCTGGAACGGTTGTTTCTGTATTTTAGATTTCATGCTCTCCCAACGCTGATTTTGTCCCCAAACTCCTAATCCCTTTTGACACAGTAAATGACCGTGGAGATGGCTGCTTGGAGAAACAAAAACGGGAGTCTTCAGGAGGCTGATTAGCCTAAAGGAGCGGCAGATGACTTTTTTATACATACATATATATTTGTGTGTGTGTATATATATCCAGCAGTGGGAAAAACAGTCTGAAGAAAGTGCTCAGCCCTCTAAGTTTCCTTGATTTGCTCGCTGCAATTGAGCATTTAAAAAAACTCCTCTGTAGGATTGTTTAATCTGCCTGTCGTTTATTAGGCATTTAATTGGCGAATGGACTAGTAACAGACTAAAAGTCATTCAGTCTTCTGGAAAATAGATAGAAAGTTGTATTTCTTTTTCTCCCTTCCTCACATGATCGCAGAACACCATGGGTAGTTTCTGCTGTTTGCAGCCATCGGTGTTGATTAACGCATAGCTGTTCAGCTTAGCTGTAATCAGAGTGTAATGAAAGGATTTAATTTATTTTAAGCAAGCAAAACAACCCTCTAAAATTCAGGAAATTTAAAGGCAACTCTTGCGTTTTAAAAAATTCTACATGGCTTGAATGAATATTCAGTGTTACGAACCCTTGAATTCCTCAGTGAATAACACTACGGCCACCTTACCCATTAGTTGAGAGACCCAGTTCCAGACAAAGCTGCTCACTTCCTTGATAGTAATGTGAATTTCTGACTTTTTTTATAGTATCATCACCGGGACAAAACCACAGGAGTGTTTGCAATTTAATTGTTGTTTTCCTTTGGGGACTTAGCTGTACTGTGTTAGATCTGAGCAAAGGGGCTGTTTTCATCTGTGCACAAGAATTTTTTTTACAATTAAGAAGGAAAAACCAAGGGGGTGCTGAGAGTCCAGAGGGCTTTGGGCCTCCTGGGTCAAGTTTTACATCCAAAGATATGGCTGCTTTTTTGTACATGGAGAGCATCAAATAGGGCTGAGGCTGTGGCTTTGGAGTACTGGTGTAATACTGGAATTAAGAGAAAGTCAGAAGCAAGAGCAGCCCTTGAGAGTTTGGGTGGGGGAGTCATGGGGGAAGGGAAGGGGTTCAAATCTGGATTTGAGAGTACTTGAGTTTGGATGGGTTTGTGATGGTCAAGGTACTGAAGGCATCATTAGCTTACTTGTTCTGACACCCTGTCATCTTGCACCTCTCCTCCGCCTGCCCCTGAACACGCATGGCTCCCAGGTGGCCTCTGTCTGGTCTGGGCATGCAGCACCCATCCCGCCTGTCTATCTGTCCTTCTGGCTCCTCCTGAGCAGGGGAGCCAGGGGATCTGCAATACATTATTCTTAAAATTCTGAGGATACAAATTCACTGTGAACGTAGAGCAGCACTGATCATCGCTTGGAGTTGAAGGTACTCGCTGGGGTAACCAGCTGCGGCTGTAAAGTCGCCCCATCCCGCACCGGAGACAACTCTGGACATCCTCAAAACGCCGCCTTCTAACCATTGTCAAATGCAGATTGATTTAAACGGCAGCTGCTGCTTTTTCTCTCCTCAAATTTGTGCAGGGAGGGTTGACGCTTAACTCTCGCTATGCTGGTAGAGGGATGCTATGCTTCGAACTGCTGTCGCCGCGCCGGGACCTTCAGCCCAGCATTCCCAGCACCACCACTGTGCCGGTCACCGGCTGGCCCTGCTCCTTGGAGCCTGCGGGCTCAGGCATCGGCCAGGCGAGCTGTTCCACCACCAAAAAATCATCATGGGTTCAGGGTTGGGTGGGTTGCTCGGTGCTGACAGGCCATGCCCACAGCTCAGGGTGTAGGTTGGGGCTCGCTCTGCGACTGGCGTGTGGTGATCCCGCACATCAGTTGAGTTACTAGCAGCTCCCGTGGTGTCTTAACTTTGGGAGGGGAAAAAAGGAATCTGATGATTTTAGCAGTTTTCCTTTGGTTAGAAATTAAAGAGCTCAGCAGTACTTCAAAGCTCAGGATTAAAAGAAAAAACCCTCTGCCACGTGCGCTTGCTTCGAAACTGCTGCTTTAGTCCTTTGTGAAGGAGGTGGTTTCTACTTAAAATGTCTGTGGCTTTTGCTGAATGGATTTTTGTCGACTGTAAAGTCATCAGCAAAAACTGCTATTTTGTCTTCCTTATGTAATCTCCCTGAGGGCAAAATGTGTACAGCCATCAGGTCATTTGAGGAAAAAATTAAAATTCCTCTTTCAGGTTCTGTAAGACTTAAAAGAAGATCCTTTATACGTAGGATTCTGTGTCTGTGCGGAGAGTGGCGTGAGGGAGGATTGCAGGAGGCTGTTGGGTTCCTGCGGGAATTAGTTGGCAGAAAAACTGAAGCTGGAAGGCTTGTTTTTTTGGACAACACGGTGTCTGAGTGCCTCGACTTGCCGTGTGCCGGGTGTCCCTGCCTGCCTGCTCAGCGGTGGCGTTGGAAACTGCTTGATGGGGTTGACCAACACTGGAATTAGCTTGTTGCGTGGTAGATGTTAATACTCCATTAAAAAAAAACTCTGCGGAGGGCAAAGTGGCATGAGCTCAGGTCGGTGCTGGGGCTAATGCAAGCTGCTAACTCTGGTAGATGTCTTGTGGCTGTTTGATGTCGTCGTAGTGAGAGAGGTTGAATTTTTATGGGCATCTTGATTGCACTTGAGCAATCTCAGCACGAAACAGACCTTTCTGGGCTGGTTTTCGGAGCATCTCGTAACGACTATACTCAGTAAAAGTGAAGTTCTCACATATGCAAAGATGTTTACAGGCTCATGCTTTGCTATATGGATAACTTCAGTTCATGCTTTAGAAAGCTGACCCTACCAGTAGCTGTTCCTAGGACAGGGAAACAGGGAATACTGTCATCTTCAGTACCCGCAAGGGATGGCACTGCTCAGGTTGCCCTAGGGGGATGCATCCAAGATTCAGTGGGTACATTTATAATGGAAAAACAACATCATTTGGAAAATATTAGCCCATATAAAAGGCCTTAAGAAAAATTCAAACCAGCGTTCAAACCCCTGAACACGGGTGCACCTCGGTGTGAACCAAAGGCACAAGAAGGTGTTCATCCAAGAGTGCTTGCAACGGGCGTTCTTCATCAGAAAAGATGGTGGGTGTCTGCATTGTGTTTATTAAGAAGCTTTGTTGCCTGGACTGTAATTTCCCCTTACTGTAATTTCAGTTCTGCCGTGCTCGTGCTGGAGCTGTTAGATGAAGAAGCAATTACTTGCTCTCTGCTCGACTTTCCAGTTTTGCTTAGTTGGCGTCTTGACATGGGAAATGGGGTGTTTGCAACCTTGTGTAGGCTTTGAACCGAAATTGGGTAAATTGAAGAGAGAAAATAGAGAGAAAAGGCTTTTTGCTGAGGACCCACAGACCTCTTGTTTCATTTAAATACCAGCCTTAACAGGCAGTGGGTTAGGGATGCCAAGCAATTCAGTCCATTTTCTAGTGAGCAAAATCTCGAGCGGGTGGGAAACTGGAGTTCGGAGCGGTGTATTTGGGTGGGATATTTGCATATTAAAGCTTTTTGCTCCATGTGACATCCCCAGCCTTTCATTATGGTAAATGAGAAGTGCAGCAGGGAAAAAAATGAATAGCTGCAGATGCTGCAGAGGCTGAAGCAGAACCTGGAGACGAGCCTCACAAACCGAGGTTGCCGTCAGACGGGTTTCCCAGGTGGTTTTGCAGCCTGTGCTAGATGTCCCCTTATTTTTCTCCTCATCCACTCGTGCCCTGCATGATCACAAATGTGAAACACAATGTATGACGGTTTATTTCCCTGGTCAAAATGTGCGGCTGTTGATGGAGGAAATAATAGACCTCACTGGAAAAAAAACGACCATGAGATTTTTAAAACTGTATTGCGTGTCAGTGCGAGGTCCTCGGCCAGCCAGGCTCTCACCTGGTAAGAAAACAGGAGATGGGCTTCGCTACCGTGGAATCAGAGTACAAGGTTTTATAATGGGCTTGTTCAAGGTGGTTTAAGCACCAAAGTAACGTGTTTGCCGTTGTTACATTTTTGTTGCAGAACGGTAGTAATGCCCATTGCCAATGAATTTGCCCCAGATGTTGTGCTGGTGTCATCTGGTTTCGATGCGGTGGAAGGCCATCCCACACCTCTTGGAGGATATAATCTATCAGCAAAATGTAAGTTGTGGATTTACAAGAGCAGAGACCTGAAACTGGTGTGAATTGCTGCTGACCTAGGGACTATATGGGGTTTATCTTCAGATCTTTCATTTCAGTGGTAAACTTCAGCCTTTTCCTTTGAATTTTCATGTGTTTTGTCACTGCACCCTATATATTTTGGTTTGGCGGAAGCCTTCATTTTGTTGAAGCATTGCATATTTCAATTTCAAGTGCCAATAAATTATGTAAGGAAGTTACCAATTAATTTGTAGTCACATCTCTGCGGAAGACAGCTGCTGATTTAGAGAGCTACGCTTGTTTTGATGCAGAATTGCAGAAAGAGGCAGGGCCAGATGTAAACAGCGTACCTTGCTCTGAATGCTAGTAAAAGCCCATTTCTTCCTCCAAGATACCTTATTAAAAATTGAAGCTGAATGTTTTTGTGCTCCACCTTTGAAGCAATTTTACGGGCCCACAGGAACCTCCTTTTTGTTCTGGATCCGTGATGTTTTGCGTTGCACGGGAGATGCGCTGAAATTCCTTCCCCCCAGCCCTTGGTTTTGCTAGGTTTATCTGGCACGCTTTCATTCAAGTCAATCCAGAAGACAGTTTTTCTTGCAAAAGGATTTTATTATTATTTTTTAAGGGTTTGTTTCAGCCAGGAAACTTACTTTCTGCAGTGAACTTCAGAACCTTGTAAGGTAGCTGAACCTATAAACTTTATATAAGAATAAAGTGAAATAGATTTACAAGAGAAGTTATTTAAGATATCCAGAATCACTTTGTAATGAGAAGGTCTTGTTTACCTGCTTGTTGGATTTCCCATGCTCTGCTACTCTCACAAAACGGTTATGGGCTCAGCCGCCAATCTTTTTATCTGGCTGTTAATTTGCCAATTTGCAAAGGTGCTGGCGGGGGTCACTGCAAAACAGAAAGCAGGGAGCATGGCTGGAGGGGAGAAATGCCCTGGATTTTCTTTTGTTTGGATTTTTCCTTTTTTTTTTTTGAGCGGGAAGGTTGCTTTGAGGACACGTTTTTTAAATCCCCGCAGCTTGGTTCTGTTTTGTTTAAAAGGTAGAAATGTATTGTGTGTCATATGATCAAAGTCCCGGGTGCCCCAGGAGTTTTTGTAGCATATTATATACGGGAAGAAACGTCTGTTAAGAACTAGATGTCATATATCTCTGGGGCACTGCGCTGCTGCTATCGCAACTGAAAGCACCGGCAGCAATTTTATTGATTTCCCCTCCTCCCTCCCCCATGACTGCTCTGACTTTGGATCTTCCAAAGCCAGGCAAAACCCAGCCTCTTTCCTTCCTTCCAAAGGAGGAATTCACAGCTATGAATAATTCGGGGTGCTAAGGGGTGGCAGGGAGGATGGCGGTGCCTCTCACCTGGGAAAAACTCCAGCGAAGAGCTCCTTGGGAGGGATATGGATCGGAGCCGCTCCGGCGGGGAACCGCGGCTGGAACTCTGCAGCAAGCGTATTAAAATCCAACCTGGCTTATATTATGCGTTGAGTCCTTTCAGATCCCTTGTGGTTTTTTAATATGATGTAATTCCTTTCTATAATTCTTTGATCCTTCGCCAGGAGCCCGATTCCAGCCTCAACCTTTGCCCTTCTCCTGCATTTCCTCTTTTCCCTCGTTACAGGCTTCGGGTACCTGACGAAGCAGCTGATGGGCCTGGCCGGGGGTCGCGTCGTCCTGGCCCTCGAAGGTGGCCACGACTTGACGGCCATCTGCGATGCCTCGGAAGCGTGCGTTTCTGCTTTGCTGGGAAACGAGGTACAGAGACGGGCAAAACCTCTGCACATACACACCCCTTGCATTTGGATGTCTCATCCTCCAAAACAGTCAATCCGCCCAAGTTTTGTCCTTGTTTTGGGTCCTTTTGACACGTGTTGATTTTTAAAGAGCGTATGCTTGATTCGTTTAAAAACTGCCTGTGTTTGGGAATCCTTGTTACAAGGATTGAAATAGCTGAGAGTTGAACGTGGGTTTATTCTTTATCCATATAGTTTGCTTTGTGCTCTTTGGAAAACAACTAATTAGTTGAATTCCATTCTGAAGTTGTTGCCCAAGCCTTCCCTTCTCTTTGCAGACCCCCCTCTCTAGTACTACAGCCTGTGCCTGCTGCGTGGGGCAGCTTGCTTGACATTGTTTTCATCTGTGTTTTTCCCCTGATGCTGTATTTTCTCTCTTCTGCACGTTGCTATGTGGGAGAAGCCTCAACTGTGTCACAGAAATTGGCCAGAAAGGCCAGAGTGTGCAGTTGCAAGATAAGAGGAGTACACCAAGGAAATGTAGGTTTGGGGTTCTAGCGAGGTCAGAGTATTTTCCTACAGAGGAAACTTCAGATACTTTGGCTTTTCTGTCTTACACACACCCTTTTAGTGTCAGTGGGATTAAGGAAGAAGTGATTCAGATTCCCCGTGCCCATCCTTGCTGCATCCTGGCTGTCAGCATCCGCTGCAGCTGACAGCGAATGAGCAGCTCACACCTGCATTTCTTCCAACGCGGTTGGTAATTAAAAAGTTTGGAGTGGTGGCATGTGACATGTCTTTGGGCTAGGGGAGTTCAGGGTTGTGTACTGCAGAAATACAGCAGCAAGGGAACACAGAAATGGGTTATCAGCAGTGAAATGCCAGACTGGGGCTCCTGTGCACCTGTTGTGTCAGTACCTTTGCCTACACTTCTGTACAGAAGCATATTTCTGTGTAATCTGTGGGCTTTTAAATACGAGTAACTGGTTAGTTTGGGTCAAGCCTCCCTCCTTCTGCTTCATTGGTCTTTTTTGGACACCTGCTCCACATACAGTCCAAATGGTTGAGTCTTGGACAGGCACAGTAGACTGCAAAAGTGCCTTGCATCAGTTTTCTACCTTGTTCAGAGGAGCGAGACGCTTGCTCAGTCTGCAGCCCTGGGAACAGTCCCTGCTCGGCCTCTGCTGCACGTGTCCTCCTATACAGGGGCTCTGGAGCTGCTTGGAACAATCGTTGAGGGCTGATAGCATGAACTAAACCAACAGTGCGGTGTGATTCCTTAGGCTACATGTAGCTAAACATTTCAGCCCTGGGCTATAGCAGCCACACTGATTTGAATTTGGGGGCGGCTGTGAAACCTCAGGCACCATTAATGGCTTGGCTAGTGTGTTGGCATTTTCTTAGGCTGCCTGTTTAATTGAGAGATTGCCCTCAGGACCTTGGGGATGTGAGCAAATCTCAAAAAGCCACAGTAAAAGGACATGAAGGAGGCTGCTGAGGTGCCCTCTGAAGGCAGTGATCTCTTCCACAAGGCATCTGCCTGCCTGTCAGATGGTGAAAGGTGGAAGTTCCTCCTAAAGCTTTGACCTGCCTTAGAGACCACAACCAGCGTCCCTCATCACCACCCTTTGCTGAAGAGCCCCTTGGGGCAGGAGCTGAGGAAGAACGTGTGGTCAACACCTGAAGGAGAAGCCAAGTGGTATGTCAGCTCTGGGTCTGCCTCCGGTGGGAGCTGACTCCTGGGGACGGTGGTGAGCCGTCATGTGCAGACTTGCTCTGACTCACAGCTGCTGTTCAGTGAACATCGGCCTTTCTCAGGTCTGGGAACTTGGGGCAAGGGGCTTGGATCTGCATGGAGGTGCGCATCAGCTATGTTTGACTTCTGGCCTTTTGGAGAAATGCTCTGCGTTGCAGTATCCACGCTCCATGCAAAAGATGACAGTGCCTGGGGAAGCCTCACTACCCAGTCTAAGGCATACACCAGCTGGGATTCATCAAAAACATCTGCTTCAATCATCCAGCCTCATCTCCAGGCGTCCAGGGCGCATCCGCTCCTTGTGCTTGGCCAGGCAGTTCTGATAAGGTTTTCAGCGTGGGTACCTGATCCAGCAAGGAAGCAGTGGAGTTTTTATTGCAGCATATCTCTCTAAAGCATTTATCTCTAAAGCTGACAGCATGTTGTCACCATTCCTCTAGCTCCATCCACCCTTGGGTGCCGCTGGCTCTAATGGCAGGATGCACTTGGAAGGGGAGACAGAGGAAATGATGCGAAGGATGTCAGTCCTCTCGCTTCCCTGCCACGCAGGTGGCTGACCGCAGCGTGGGGTGACGGTCTGCGCGCAGTAAGTGAGCTCTTGATCCGAGCCACGACCGTCTGTGGAAGTGCAAGGCTCTGGGGAGATCTCAGCACTCAGGGTAGCTTGGGTGTTGGCAACTGCCTGAGGGTTTTCATTTAGCAGTGTGAATATCCATACTTAAAGGTAAAAAAATGCTATTTACTTCCTTTTAAATTGCTGATTCAAGTCAGTTATGTTTTAAAATACTTCAAGGTGGGCCTGTTCTCACTTTTGGTAGGTGGGCTATAAGGCTGCGCAGATACCATGATAACGTTCTCCCGCTTGCACTTCAAAAAGCAGGAAACGCTAGTTTTATCAAGGTCTTTTTATAAAATCTTCTTAGTGCAAGGAAGTTGGAGGGAACTGCTGTGGCTGCGTCCGGCGGCCCTTTGATGAAGTTTGATATACAGCGTGTCAGAGGAGCTTTGCGTGCGTGCACACGGACAGGCAGCTGCGGCCGGCGACGGGCTGCGGGGCGGTTTTGCTGGCAGAGGAGCGGTGCCGGAGTTACACGGGGAAATGGTAGGAAATGAGGGGAACACTGCCAGTCCCCAGAGCGTCTGCGTTCACTGGTGGAGATCAAAACTCCCGCTTGGGGAAAAAGCGTTATGCAAAGGCAAGAGCCGGCTTCTGCCCAACTGTCCAGGAAATTAAAACAGAGCTGTAGCTTTGCAGCAGATTATTTTGATGTGAAATGAGTTAGTGCCGGGTGAGGTGGATTGAAAACGTACGTACGCTGCCTTGGTTACAGATTTAGTTGCTGTGGTGGGGTCTCCCTGGCTGGAGGCCAGGTGCCCACCAAAGCTGCTCTGTCCCTCCCCTCCTTGGCTGGACGGGGGAGAGAAAATACAGCAAAGGGTTCGTGGGTCGAGACACAGACAGTTGAAAAATCAAAAGCAGGCATGATGCAGGGAAGATCTGCTGATGGTGGTGTAGACCAGCAAGCTACCCTTCCACTCCCATTGCTTCAAGCAGCCCCCGACAGCGGCACAGGAGGGCAGAGGAGGCAGCAACTGTGCAAAGCTGCTCACTCCACCGTGGGCATCGCCAGCCTTCAGCCTTCAAACCTGCCTCTGCCCCGGGAAAATGTTGCTTGCTGTCCATTCCCAGGGAGTGATGTCAGGGCATCAGCGTTCGCTGCCCTGGGGTAGGAGCCATGCCAGCACCATGCCCGGAGCAGGGTGTGGAGCTCCTGTGTCACGGGAGCTGCGAATGGCAGGGAGAGAGATGGGAGGTGGATGGAGCTCAGCAGCGCTCGCTCTGTCGTTTTCCACGCAGAAGTAGCAGGGGGGTGTCCAGTGTCAGACTCCAAACGTCCCGAATTAACAAGAAGGTGATAATAAGCAGTTGCTTAAAACCTTTGCCTCATGCCCCAAGGTATTTCCTGCCTTTTTCAGGGAGAGCGATGGCTGAGGCTGTTGCTGTGAGTGGTATTTCAGGAGGAGGAGCGTGCAGTGGAAACGATTCCCACGTGTGGCTGGGCTGCCTGATGTTGCGTGCTTTGTAGCAGTATCACCCGAGAGGCGTCAGGAAGCTCTTTCTTACAGGTTTGCCCAGGAGTTGCTTTTGCCTTCACTTAATGTCAGACAGAAGCCGGTTTGGGCCAGAATTATTTTTTGAGTGGAGAATTCAAATGAAGCGCAATCTGTAATTATTAAATATGGAACGGAGCAATTCCTTAATCCTCGTGAAGTACCTATGGAATGTCTGCCATGTGGTCGCAAGAGCATCTGTTGGCTGGAGCTTCTCTTGGCTTTGAACAGAAGCTTCCGATAAACTTTGCCTTAGATTGGGGTGGTTTTTAACTATTAAGCAGTGGCTGCTGCTTTGCTGGGGAGTATCCTGGGATGAGCCTTCACCAGTATTTTCAGCCACAGTTGACAGCTGTGGATATCCCTTTTTTTGGATACCCATCCTTGGAGGTCTGGTGAATTCACATTCTTGGTGGAGAACCTGGGGGAGATGGGGGGCCACAGCAGGAAGGAACCAAGAAAAAAGGATGGGCTTGGAGAGCATCAGCTCTACCGAAACATTATTCGTAAAATATTGAGTTGGTTGTGCCGTGTCTTGAGCTCTCGCAAATCAAATCTAAGCTGTTGGCCATGTAGATGAACCAAGTAGAGCTGCTCTGCTTGGGCATCATCCTTACCTGCCAAGCAGGTGCCCGTGCTGTGCCAGATGAAACCAGTGTTCTCCCCAGTGTTAGCTGTTGAAAGCAAGTAACCCCATCTCCTTCCAGAAGAGCCCCCACTTGCTGCTCTGAGGCACCCCCCCTGTAAACAAGCATGTTAAAAACACCACGAAAGAGGATGTGGTTTTCAGGGTATTGATCTGATTTCTGATTTTCTGTACTGACTGAAGGCTGCTGGGGCTGGGCTGGATACGAGCAGAGTTTCCTATCAGGCAAGAGGAAAGTATCATAGAATCACGGAATGGTTTGGGTTGGAAGGGGCCTCAAAGATCATCTAGTTCCAAACCCAAAATGTGGGGCATCCACAGCGTCTCTGGGCAGCCTGTTCCAGTGCCTCTCCACCCTCTCCGGGAAGAATTTTTTTCCTGATATCCAATCTCAATCTCCCCACTTTCAATTTAAACCCGTTACCCCTTGTCCTGTCACTACAGCCCTTGTAAAAAGTCCCCCCCAGCTTCCTTGTAGCCCCTTCAGGCACTGGAAGGTGCTATAAGGTCTCCCCAGAGCCTTCTCTTCTCCAGGCTGAACAAGCCCAACTCTCTCAGCCTGTCCCCATGGCAGAGGTGCTCCAGCCCTCGGAGTATCCTTCTGATGTTGAAGGGTCCAGAGCTGGACACAGCACCCCAGGTGGGGTCTCACAAGAGCAGAGTAGAGGGGGAGAATCCCCTCCCTTGACGTGCTGGCCACACTGCTCTGGATACAGCCCAAGATACGGTTGAGAAATATCTCCTAGAAAACAGGAAAAAATGCCATCAAGCAAGGAGAGGGCATTTCTCTTATGCACTCCCTCTTCTCTCATCCTCACATCCTTGCCCTGGCTGCCAGAGCACTTTCGTGCCTTTAAAAATAAATGAGAAAAGCAATGTTCTCTGTTGCCGAAGGGAGCTTTGGAGTCAGTTAGTAGTCCCTGCAGGCACATCTGCCCATGCCAATGCAGAGGTGAACTGGATCCCCTGGTAGTTTTGCAACCTCCCAGTTGCAAACCGGAAGGGTAACTCTCTGCTGGCAGTGAGAGAGCTTGCATCTGAAGACAAGCGACGTGTGCGCCTAGTTTTGTAAGTCACAGGTCTGCAGAACCTTTCTGCTCTTGCCCACCGTTGCTTTGGGAGTGATTTGATTTCTTTATTTAAAACAGCTGCACTGATCAAAGCTGGTCTCGGTGGTCTGTGCTCCCGCTGATAGCCAGCACCGCTCAGTCAGCAGGATGGTTCAGACCTCCTACGGGGTAGTAGCTCCAGTGGCAAAAACACCTCCTTGCTGGGATAGCTGGTTTCTACCCACGAGCTGGAGTAGCCTATCCTAGCAGCAGCGTGGGTCTTCCGGAGGGATCTGCATCCAAAGCAGGGCTTGGCCATTATAGCCCTGCGAGACAGCTCTGTTAGCGTCGTACTGCGTGTCCTGTTCGGGCTTTTACGGGTAGATCTCCACCGCAGGGCTTTGCTCCAGTGGAACTGGAGATGGACTTCAAGGAATAACTGGGGAAGGACTTAGGGAAGCTTCTTTAGAGTGTCATTTTCTAATTCATCTCTGTTTAGCAAAAGGAAGATACTTGCAAGGAACATGGGACAGTGAGACTGGAATGTTATTAGTGCTTTGATTTACTTTTTAAACTGTTTTTAACAAAGGCAGTGCTGCTTTTTTGAGGGATGTATGTTGGAGCAAAACAGAAATCGTCTACGTGCCATTTGCATTTACAGCAGAAAAGCAGCCAGGCCCAGAAAGATGCCTGCTTGTTATGTGCCTTTACACTGAACATCTTCGGGAGGCTTTCTGTGTCGGCTTGCAGCTTGAAGTCTAATGCCAGCAGCATGTTCTTGCTGTCACCTTTTTCTGTAAAGAGCAAAGGAATGAAGCCGGCATCAAAAAGCCTAAATTTTAATACCCAATGATGATCCTTTCCAGCAACTTCAAGGCAATTTTTTTTCTTAAAGATTAGTGTACAGCTCTAATGCCACGCTGCCCTGGCAAGACTAGACCAGCAGCTGGTAAGAGGCATCGATGGTGACTGAAGTTATAGTCATGCTGAGTATGCCTTTAAAGCAGTGTTTTGCATTTTCTCTGTACCAAAATTAGGCTACACATCTTAGGGTACACATTTTTTATTCAGTTAAGGATTAATAGATACCCTGGATTAGATTTTTAGGGGAATTAAAAAGCTACTCCTTTTACTTCCTTAGAGGAGAACCAGAACTGTAGCTGGGTAAAGTCCCTTTTATTTACACATTGTTTTAATAGTGAAAACTTTGCAGAAAGGTAGATCCATGAAATGGATCCATTGTAAAAGCAGCCTGATTTTTCTGTGCTGAGTAATCGTGCCTGTTCATACAGTCGGCATCAGCGGCTGCAGCAGGTTCTTTAGGAGCAGCCCCTGTGCTGCACGGCTGCCCAGCTCGGTGGAGCTGCAGCGGTTTGTGTGTCGGGGAGCATCAGGCTGGAGGAGGCTGTGCTGGGCATCACAAAAGCACTTAGAAAGCCTGTATATTAGGGATATTTAACTAAAGACGGGTAATAGGAATGAGGGGAGTGGAGCAGAGGCTCGATACGGCAGAGCCACTTGCTAAATCACGCTTAATGCCTGGTCTCTTAACTTGAGGTAACGTTTCTTTGGTGTTTCTCTCTCTCTCCAGCTTGACCCTCTTCCAGAAAAGGTTTTCCAGCAGCGAGCAAACGCTAATGCAGTGCATTCAATGGAGAAAGTAATCGAGATACACAGTGAGTATAGCCCCATTCACCCAGCTAATTCCCTGTTGGGTCGCCCTGTGGGACCCCCGTTTGGCTTCTCCATCAGCCTGGCAACTCCCCTGTTCCCTCATTCCGGTGTACGGGTGGTCGCTGTGCAGTGATGGATTTGAGCAGCCACAAGCTGGTCTTGCTGTGCAGTAGTGGTTTGTGTGATGCACGGGAAGCGGTCGATTCAGGGAAATGCTGTGATGCTCAAGGAGGAATTAGTATTAAAATCTCTTTAAAGGACAGTCTGTCCTGCACTTAGAGTGGGCTCTTACCTCCTCAAAGGCAATTCAGGTACCTCTGAATACCATATGTCTTGTTGGGTGTCGTGGCGCCCATTAATCATGAACGGACAGGCATGAAAGTTAAACTGATCGTTCCCTAAAGTTGCTAACATTTTAGGTTTATTTAATGTGGGAGGTTAAAATCATTGTAGCTGAAGCTCTCCTGGACACATTCTTGGGGGATGGAGAAAGATGTCTGAGTAATACAGCAATCCCACCGCTATGTCCTGACAACTTCCCACTTTAAATATTTGTGTACTAAAACTGGAGTGGGCTAGACTCCCTTCTACAGGGCAAAACTGGACCTTAAAAGGGACAGGGGTTCAGCCCCAGTTTGACATCCCAGGTGTCCTTAGGCATGTGCAGGTGCACATTTATGCTGTCAGTACCTTTTGGATTGAAACCTAGATCTTCCAGACCCGGCAGCATTGCAGCACCATCTTTTAATACAGTAAAATCATAGAATCACAGACTGATTTGGGTTGGAAGGGACCTTAAAGCCCATCTAGTCCCAACCCCCCTGCCATGGGCAGGGACACCCTCCACTAGACCAGGTTGCTCAAAGCCTCATCCAGCCTGGCCTTGGACACTTCCAGGGATGGGGCATCCACAGCTTCTCTGGGCAACCTGTGCCAGTGCCTCATCACCCTCTCTGGGAAGAATTTCATCCTGATATCTAATCTATACCTCCCCGCTTTCCATTTAAACCCCTCACCTGTGAGTAGCATGGCACATACTCACAGGGGTCTCTCTGGTCTCACCTTGCAAGCTGGGGCTCCCTTGGCGTGTATTCCCAGGAACCCGCTTTCACGTGCAGCTTCCTCCACAGCCCTGGGACCTCAAGACGGGTGAAGGTTACATGTTTCATAGGTGTGATGAGTCTTCCTCAGGCAGGTCTCAGCCATCTGTTGGGCCCGGGAAAGCGGGAGCGCGGTGCTGGACCCGTAACGGTGCAGGTGCCCTGACCGCCTTCTCTTCTCACCTCTACCCCAGGCAAGTATTGGCATTCACTCCAGCGTTACTCCTCCACGGTGGGCTACTCCCTGGTCGAGGCGCAGAAGTGCGAGAACGAGGAGGCGGAGACGGTAACAGCCATGGCATCTCTGTCAGTGGGCGTGAAGCCAGCTGAGAAGAGGTGGGTCACTTCCCGTTTATCATCACATCTCCCAGTCTACCCAGGCAGGAGGAGCCGTGGTGGGCAGTTAATCCTCTCCTTTTCACTGTTGCACACGCATTCCTCGCATCTCCTGCCCTCCGTGGGGTATCCAAAGACCCCCTGGGCTGCGGGAGAGCAGCAGTGCTGTGAACTCTGTGTGTGAGTGCACGCTGTGCCTCACTCTTCTGCTCCCGCCGGGGCTGAGTGTAGTTTTGGACCACAAGAGGAGATTGATTTTGCTGGAAATAAAAAGTTCACGTTACACAGGTGAAAACATACTGTCTAAAAACCCTTCTTGGTGGCAAGTTTTAATTCCAGGTGAGCCAGCTGAGCACAACTGCCTGGGTGGGAAGGTGATGGGAACGTAAGGCGTTAGGACTTAGCACCACAAATTGTCCAACTCTCTCTTGTTCAACCGTCTCTTCTCTCTTCCCCCTCTGCCCATCCTGCCCGGCTGTGAAATCGCTCAGACCTGATGATGAACCCATGGAAGAGGAACCTCCCCTGTAGCATTCACCTTCGAGCTGGAGTTCTCCTGTCTGTTCGTCTTCGTCTTGAAGCTCTGCCAAGAAGCTTTCTCTTGTTACTCCTGTGTCCTGTCATGGTTTTTTCCAGAATACGGAAGGACAACCAGGTGTAAAACAAAGCAACCGAAAAAAGAAATCTCTCCATATCTATACACGTCTACAGTATGTATTTGCCGAAAAAGAAAAATGCCGGCAAAGAGCAGGAAAGGACTGACACGCTGGGCACTCTTCCTCTGGTCCTCACTGGGAGTGGAAGGGGGAACGACGCCCGTGAAGTCTTTGGCAGAGTTGCCAAAAAAAAATAAAAGGAAAAAAAATATAAAAAAAACAACAAATCAAAGATTCAGCAACAACACTTACGGAAACACAGCAAACAAACCTTAACGTAGAACTGGTGCTTACGAATGGATCACCCACAATTCAGCAATCTCCGCTTGAACCACTCGGCCCATCTTGTAGTTTCATTTCTTGGATTTTTTAAATGGCTCTTGCCTGCCTGTGAGTCGACGACGTTCTTGTCGAAACCAGAACAATGTGAGGTGGTGTATTTTTAACGGGGAGGGACAGGGAGAGAGGGACTCGTCTTACAGCTAAAGGAAAGGGAAAAGAGAAGGGGGGAAATGGTAGCCCAGATGGAGTCGGCTTTATTGTCTCCAAAGCCATCTGAAGATGAGTTTGTGCCTTTTTTTTTAATTGATGGATTTGGTGCAGCTGGATTTTCTGAAGTTTGAGGAACAATGCCTTAAGTAAAAAAAAAATAAAAAATAAAAAACACACACACAAAAATTAAAAAAAAAAAAACAAACCACAAAACATTAAAAAACCCACAAAGAACGCAGCAGTTCGTGAATATTTTTCCTCTAGTCGGGAAAGCCAAGAACTGCCATCAGGAAGGAAGACTTTTTGGCTTGTGCTGGCATGATGGTGGGAAGCAGGCATCAGCTGAACAGAGCGTCTCCAAAAACTGTCTACAAGTTTGGATTTGTTTTGTTTTCTTTCATTGCTGTTTCAGGAAAAAAAAAAGAAAAAAGAAAAAAAAATTAAGGTAGTTGCCAAGAAAGTGGCAAATACTGTTGGGTCTTTGAAATTCAACCATTTTTAAAAACAAATTTTCAAATGTTTTCTCTCTTCTACATTATCGAGTAATTGAACTTATCAATTTGGTTGTTGAAGCATGTATTAGACACAAACGCAGGTTTAAGACTGGAATGCTTTTGATTAAAAGCAACTAGCATGAGATATTGCTTAAATTGTTAGGTATAAATATATATATGTGTATAATGTATATTCCAAATGTATTCCAAGCTTAGAAACCGGATTCCTATGAATTATTGATGAAAATATTTATGATGCATTTATAGAAAACTATATGTAATAAATGCATACTATAACAGTAGCCACTGGGAAGCTCCCTAGGGACAGCTGTGCGAATTGGAACGTAAAAGGTGCTTTTGGAAAAGGATCCAGGTTGAAACTCGAGGACTTTCAGACGACAGGTTGGAAAGTTTTTCAGAAAGCCAACACGTTAGCCACTGGGCAACTACCCTAAACATTTGTATTTTAATTTAAGGTTTTTAGTTGTGATCCTTTTCTAACAAAAAAAAAAAGAAAAAAATAAGAAAAAAAGAACAATGAGTTTTTTATAGCGAAGACTATGAATTTGCTGTTAATTTTTATATCGATATTTCACAAAACCCTAAAGAAGCCTTGTTTGTGTGACTCTGACATTTCTTTTCTGTTTGGCAGGTTTCGTTTCCGAACGGCAATAGCGTCTAAACCTTTCTTCCTCCCACTTTTCTTGCTTGTACATTATTTTCCTTATTTCTTTTAATTTTTTTTTTCCCCGTTTTTTCTCAAGTCTTTTGTACAGTGAGCAGCTTTCTGCGGGCGTAAGGAACTGTGGCAGATTGTCAGAGTTCATTTTTCGGCAAGGGTGCGTTTTATCGAGGAGGAGGGAACGCGATGGGCTCTTTTGTATAACGATACCGCCAACTGTATATTTCCTCGGTTCTCTTGTAGTAGCTGTGTAAAGAAAATAAGGAGTTTTCTTACCTTCGACGCGGTCTTATTCCAGTGGGCGACGTCTTTGTCCTCCGCGCGGATCGTAGCGAGGACTGCCGGCGGCCGCGGTAGCTGCCCGCCGTCGGGAATGCTGTCGGACGCTCGTGGCGTTTTTCTCTCCGCCGGACAGACGGACACGCACGCACACCTCCCCACGTCCTCTTTCTGTGTCTCTTTTCTCTCCTCCTCTTCTTCCCGTCGCCGGTAGGGTTGGAGAACCTTTCCTTGAAGGTATTTTTTTCCACCCCCGATGAGGTCGGTGCCCCGCGCCGGCCTCGGCAGACGGGAGAAGCAGCACAGCCCTGCCGCGAAGAGCCTGAGCAGCTTCAGAGGAGACCGGCTCGACGCGCGTGCCGTCGTAGGCAGCGTAGGGTAGCACACCCCCCTCGTCCGAACAGCCAAGGGTAGCTTTTTTTTTCCTTTAATTCTTGCTTTATTCTGTAACGATGACGACTGACGGGGTCGCTTCCAGTAACTTATTTCTTTCCAGTTCTCGAAGCGGCCGTTTTCATTCCATTCAGGACTCACTCGCGGGAGGAATTTGAGGCGTAATCGCACGTGTGAGCGAATGCGGGAGGCTTTTTCTTTTATTCCTGGGTTTATAATGCAATTTAAAAACCAGACACTACTGTATTTGAGTTTTGCAAACCCAAGTACGTGTTAAAATTACCAGTAGCTTCGGTCGTGTAGCACCATCCTCAGCGTAATTCTAGAAATAATCTTCCCGTGTGAAAACACGACGTACCTGGAGATATTGTGGCTTGGTTTGGGGTTGTTTGTTTGTTTTCTTTTCTTTTCAACCGACCACTTTGCTGCTGTGATCTGAAATTAATCTGGCTGCCGAATCTGGTGACTGACCTTAAATTTTCCTTTTGCTGTGTGCGCGCCGCGGGCCGTAACCACGTTTACACGATCGCTTCTGTTGTCAGCTCTTCCCTGGCGGGTGTGTGTATTTCTCCTCTCCGTCGTGGCAAAGCTTTTTTCTTTCATTTTCTGTGTTCCTGAGAGCTGCCGGCTGGCCGTGCTGAGCCGGTTTCTTTCTGAAATCCGAAGGAGCTTGTCAGGGTGCCGCCTCCGTTTCTTTCCATCAGCTTCTTGCCAGAGCCGTCGGAGCTCGTCTCCTCCAAACTCCCGGTGACGTGGATACGTTTCGCAGCGGCGCGCGCTCCCCGGGCAGAGGCCGGGAGGCTCTTCAGGGCTGGTGCAGGCGCGGAGAGGGAGGAAAGAGCCCTCGTTTTGAGGCTCGCCAGGGTTTTTTCACCTTTTGAGCCATTAGCTTCTTCATTTCAGGTGACTTGGCCGCAGGGCCGCC